CATACTAGATAATTTTAAGTTGCTGTTCTCTTCATTTCTAATGCATTTCCAGTATTCTGCATTTGTCCTTTCCTCTTCTCATAACCGTCGGTGTTGATATCATGTTTCTTTGTGGATGATTTTCTATCTTTGCTTTATGCATGCCTTTATTGGTGAGCTTTCCCATTCATATTTTTCTTGAGTTTAGTTGTGGCTTTTTCCACCTAGAGAAGTTCCTTTAGGATTTATTGTAAATATGGTTTGGTAATGCTGAATTCTCTGAGCTTTTGCTTGTCTATAAAGCTTTTGATTTCTCTGTTGATTCTGAATGAGAACCTTTCTGGGTATTCTTCCTTATAGGTTTTCCCTTTCATCACTTTGAATGTATTGTACCATTGCCTTCTGGCTGCAGAGTTTCTGCTGAAAAGTCAGCTGATAACATCATGAGGATTCTTTTGTATATTATTTGCTATCTTTCCTTTGTTGCTTTTAATATTTTTTGTCTTATTTTTTGTCAATTTGATTAATATGTGTCTTGAACTATTCCTCCTTGAGTTTACCTTGGATGGAACTCTGTGCTTCCTTGACTTTAGTGAATGTTTTCTTCCTCATGTTAGGGAAATTTTCACCTATAATCTCTTTAAATATTTTCTTGGGCCCTTTCTCTCTCTCTCATCCTTCTGGAATGTTTATAATGTAAATGTTGGTGCACTTAATGTGTTCCTAGAGATCTCTTAGATTGTCCTCATTTCTCTGCACTCCTCTTTCTTCATTCTGTTCCAAGGTCGTCATTTCTACCACTCTGTCTTCCAGCTCACTTATTTGTTCTTCTGCCTCACTTATTCGCCTATTGATTCCTCCTAGTGTATGTGTTTTTTAAATTCTATTTATTGATCAGTCTTGGCTGAACTGGGTTTTTGTTGCTGTGTGTGGGTTTCCTCTAGTTGCAGCAAGCCAGAGCTGCTCTCTAGTTGCGTTTACAGGCTGCTCATTGTAGTGGCTTCTCTAGTGCAGAGCCTGGGCTCTAGGGCACACAGGCTCAGTAGCTGTGGCTGTTCACCCCCAGAGTGCGGGCTCAGTAGTTAGAGCACACAGGCTTAGTTGCCCTGCAGCATGTGGAATGTTCCCGGACCAGGGATTAAACTCGTCCTCTGCATTAGCAGCTGGATTCTTAACCACTGGACCAACAGGGAAGTCCTAGTGTGTTTTCATTTCAGTTACTATATTGTTCATCTCTGTTTTGTCTTTAAATCCTCTTTTTCAAACATCTTTTGTATCTTTTCTATCTGTGCCCTATTCTTTTTCTGAGATCTTGAATCATGTTTATTATAATTTCTCTACATTCTTTTTCAGGGAGGTTGCCTATCTTCATTTACTTGTTTTTGTGATTGTTTTAAATGACGTTCCTTTGTCTGGAACGTATTTCTCTGCCATCTCATTTTTTCTAACTTTCTGTGTTTGTGGTCTCCTTTTTGCTGGCTGTAGGGTTGTAACTCCTCCTGCCTCTGGTGTCTGCTCCCTGGTGGGTGTGTTTGGTCCTGGAGCTTGTGCAGGCTTCCTGATGGTAGAGACTGGTGCCTGTCAACTGGTGGGTGGAGCTGTGTATTGTCCCTCTGGTGGGTAAACCTGTGTCAAGATTGGTTTTTAGAAGTGGCTGTGAGCTCATTATGACTTTATGCAGCCTGTCTGCTGATGAGTAGCCCTGTGTTACTCTCCTGCTTCTTGTTTGCCCTGAGGCATTCCAGCACCGGAGTCTATATATTGTTGTGTAGGACCAGGTCTTGGTGGGAAAATGGCAAATTCTGGGAGAGCTCCTGCAGATCAATACTCTCTAGGGCCTCTGCTATCAGTATTCTTGCCTCCACAGTGAGCCACAGCTGACCCTCGCCTCCCTAGGAAACCCTCCAAGACTTGTTGCTAGTCCCAGCCCAAGCTTATATGGAATTACTGCTTTGTGCTGCGATTCCACATACATGAAACCTCATATGTTCCCTCCAAGAAAATTGTTTGTTTCACAGTTCTGTGGAGCTCCTGCATTCATGGTCCCCTGGCCTCCAAAGCAAAATGTTTTGGGGGTTCCTCTTCCTGAAGCCAGACTCTCAGGCTGGAAAGCCTGAATTGGGGCTCAAAACTTTCACTTTTATTGGAGAACCTCAGTGATATAATTATTTTCCAGTTTGTGGGTCGCCCACTTGGTGGCTATGGGAGTTGATGATGTGACAAAAAAGTTCATCCTGTCATCTTGTTGCCCCTTCTTTGTCTTGAGTATAGTATATCTTTTTTTTTGGTAAGTTCCAGTCTTTTTTGTCCATGGTTGTTCAGCAGTTAAGTTGTGATTTTGGTGTTTTTGTGAGACAAGGTGTGCTTAAGTCCTTCTACTTCACCGTCTTTTCCAGAACTAAGTGATTGCTTTTGATTTGGATGCTTTCTCTTTCCTCAGTGTGTTCTGGCTGCTTGCCCCCTTGATAAATGGACTGTGCAGGCGCAGCAGCCCTTGCCCAGTCTCAGGACAGCATGGGCAGCGCTCGACATCTGCTTGCAGGTCTCCTGGGTGAGGCTTCTCTTCACGCACTCCAAGGACAGCTAGGGCAGTGCTTGGCGCCTGTTCGTGAGTCCTGTAGTAGCAGCCTGTGCCCACCTCTGGACCCTGTAGGAGGTGTCCTGTTACCTTGGAGTGCTCACAGATTAAGAAGCTCTTATGTTGGTCCCCCTTCTTTCCTCATATGCCGCTGCAGTGACGGCACCTTGCCTCTCTGGCAAGCCCTTGGTTCTTCTGAATGTACCCTCAGTTGCCATAGTTCAGCCTCTTCAGGCTCCCTCCACACAGCCAACCCTGGTCCACTCCCTGGGTCTGACCCCTGAAGCCTGCGCTTGAGTACCCAGCCCTCACCCACAATAACAGACAAGAATTTCAGGCTGGGGAGTGCAGTACCAAACTTTTATGCACATTGCTCTTTATTTTGCCTTCTGCAAACCGGGTTACTGTGCTCTCCCCCTAGGTTCTAAAGCTCCCGCTCTGTCCAGGCTGACCTCCCTAGGTGATGAAGGGACTTTCCAGGGTGTGGGAACCTTTCTTTCTTCACAACTCCCTCCCTGGGGTGCAGGTCCCATTCCAGTTCCTTTCTTTCTCTTCTTCTTGTCCCATCTGGTTATGTGGAGATTTTCTTTTTTTGTTCGTGCTGCATAGTTTGTTGGCTCTTAGTTCCCTGAACAGGGATTGAACCTGGGCCACCATGGCACTGAAAGTATCGAATCCTAATCATCGGATTGCCAGGGAATTCTGCTTGGAGATTTTTCTGGCCATTTTGGAAGTCTAGGTCTTCTGCTAAAGTTCTGAGTGAATTGTTCCATTTGCAGATATGTTTTTTAATGCTTTTATGGGAGAAGGTGAACTCCCCATCATCTACCATCTTGATCCCCATCCAGCTAAGGTTTTTAAAAATAAGATTCAATTTTAATTTCACTTCATTTATAACTTTATTTCTGGATTCTTAATATTTTAACACAGAGTCAGACACAGCTGTTTCATTTTCTAAAATCTATCAGATTTTTATTTTTTACTAAAATCCAGGAAATTCCTGCATTAGTTTAGTTTTTCTCCAACTTAAATTTGAACTAATCTGCCTAAAGTGTAATGCCAGTTATCTTATTCACCTGATTATCTTGATTATTTTCTAACAATATATTAAAAGTTTTGTAAGAACCATAACTGTTCAGATTTTTTCAGTGTATCGCTGCTAGCTTGTTTGAACTGAAGCTGTGTAGGATTCCTTGCTACCTGTCAATCTTCTGCATATTTTTGGTGACAATTATAGAATCATCAGTATAGTTTCTAGAAGATGCTTTGTCATTAACAATCAGTTATGGCTGGCTAAGCTTGTCTTCTTGTTACCAGGGAGGAAATATTTTTCCACCTAGGTGCTTCATTCTTCAACTTAATTTTTTTTTTATCATACACATGACTGCCTTTTATCATATACAAGACTCTAGATTCCATCATGGAGACTGGCATCTGTTCTTTGCTATTGCTATGTTGATCTGTTGTAGGCCATCACCTCCCTCTCTGTCCTGATAAGAACATTGTTATCAGTGTTTGGTGAGCAAGCCAGTGATTGCATGATTGTAATGATCTTGGGTGGGCTTGGCCTGCAGCAGCTTGAAACAGGGCTTTGGTTCCCGGCCAGAGATTGGGGTCAGGTCGTGGCAGTGAGAGCACCAGATCATAGACACTAGACCACTGGGCAGTGACAAGGCCCACCCGGTCCCTTCAGTTTTGCAGAGAAGAATTCCCACAGAAAGGGAAAGTAGTAAGACAAGTAAAGTGTTTATTAGGAGGGAGAAGAGTACAGTATGTGTGGTTAGACACCTGGGTGGACCCAGAGAGAGAGTTGTAGCCTCATGGTAGTTTGAATCACTTTGATACAGCATTTCCTCCAGGTTTCCTTTATTCGGTCATCTTTGCCTGGTTGTCAGTTCGCCTTTGGTTTATCTCAGGGTTCTCACCTGTGTGTCTGTGCATCTCTAAGCCAAGATGGGTTCTGATGAAGAGGCTTATAGGTAGTTGCATCACTTACTATGAGGTGATGCCCTATCTCTCTTGGCCTCCAAGGAGCCTTTCTGTGCATGTGTAGTCAGGGAGTTCTCCGTAACTTTGAGAATGAGGAATATGTGGTCTTTTATCTCTTGTCTGGGCAAGGCCTAGCCTCCTCCATCATCCTGCTCTTGTGGAGTTTCTGTCTACGTGGGAGGCTCATCTTTCTCCTGCCTCAGTAAATCTGTTGGTCACCATTCCTTTGGCACAATCAGGATCTCCAAACCAGTCACCGTGGAAACTGTTTTTTGTGATGTCAAGTTGTTTAACATCCACTGTTCTGTAAGCTAAGGATGCCTATCTTTTTCTGTAGTTGAGCTGACTTTGTAAATAAAATTCCATGTCCTAAGATTCTGAGCTTTGGGCTTAAGTACATGTGAGTTTAAATCTCAGCTGTAGCTCTTTTCCAGTTATCGTGGTGTAGGGAACCATGAGCAGCAAAGTCTCCCGCGACACCCTCTATGAGGCAGTGGGGGAAGTCCTGCACCGGAACCAGCGCAAGCGCAGGAAGTTTCTGGAGACTGTGGAGCTTCAGATCAACCTGAAGAACTATGACCCTCAGAAGGACAAACGCTTCTCAGGCACCGTCAGGCTTAAGTCCACTCCCTGCCCCAAGTTCTCCGTGTGTGTCTTGGGGGACCAGCAGCATTGTGATGAGGCCAAGGCTATGGATATCCCCTACATGGACATTGAGGTGCTGAAGAAAGTCAACAAGAATAAGAAACTGGTCAAGAAGCTGGCCAAGAAATACGATGCCTTTTTGGCTTCAGAGTCTCTGGCCAAGCAGATTCCCCCGAATCCTGGGCCCAGACCTGAATAAGGCTGGCAAGTTCTCTTCCTTGCTGACCCACAATGAGAACATGGTGGCCAAAGTTGATGAAGTGAAGTCCACGATCAAGAAGGTGCTGTGTCTGGCAGTGGCTGTTGGCCACGTGAAGATGACAGATGATGAGCTTGTGTACAACATCCACTTAGCTGTCAACTTCCTGGTGTCCTTGCTCAAGAAAAATCAGCAGAACGTCAGGGCCTTGTACATTAAGAGCACCATGGGCAAGCCTCAGCGTCTGTACTAAGGCACAGCTTAATAAACCATACTAAACCAAAATAAATAAATAAATCTCAGCTGTAACACCAATAGTTCTGTATTAAGCGCACACTACCTCTCTTGCTGGGTTATTCTAGGATTAGGGATAGTTATCTGTAAAACACATGTTGGTTACTTAAATTGTAGCTGTTCTTGGTATGACCTTCTAGCCATAATCCATGCCTTTGAAAAACTGAAGGGAACTAAAGAGTTGATTTGCACAAAGGTAAACTAGCAGAATATTTGACGTTGTCCTGGGAGAGCCCATCATGGTAGGTGAAACAGAAAAAAGACAAGGACTGGTGCCAAGTGCAAATGCAGTTGTCAGTTTGGAACGGTGCCTCCCTGGAGACGCACAGTACAGACTTCTAAAGGCTAGATCATCCGAGGTGAAAGCTTCTGTTATTTAGAAGAAATACAGGTAAGGTGAGGAGATCATCAGCTACAAGTAGAAATTCTCACTGGTTTAAAACAAGCACTCCAATCAGATTGTTTACCTATGAGTGTAAATTGATTGCCTATGGTGGTTATACATTTAGGGAGAAGATTATTTCTTAAAATTTTGAAGCTTTACAGAAGACATAAGAAAGATGGATATTTTGTTTTCCTCAGTGGGAGGAAAAACCCTCCTAATACTGTTATCACAGTGTAATTCTAATTGAGGTTTAGGGTTGATTAGTTGGTCCTTCAGAGTGTGCTCTGCTTTGGGGAGGTAGAGACAATCTCTCTTTATTTGTCACATGAGGTTGATTATAGCAAAAACCTGTGTCTAGGCCCCATTGATACACTGTTCATACCTTGAAGAGTGGACTCAATATCAGGCCTTGGAAAGATTTTGAGTATTTCTTATCTGAACTTGCATATGAGCAAGCTGTGTGAACCTGTTTTTACTATGTCCTGTATCTGGAAGAGAAAGGAACACCATGGAATCTGAGGGCTTAAGTAAGAGTCCAAACCCTTGACTCTGTTCCACATTTAAATTAGGTCTACCTGTTTGTTTGTTTGTTTTTAACATAAACTGGCTCATTAATACTATTGCTAAAAATAAAGGTGCCTTCTTGAGAAATGGCTGTTTCATTGTGTGTTTGCTTGACCTTGTCCCTTGGGAAGGAGAATAGTATAGGGACTTAGACCACGCTGGACTGTTGCATTAACCTCGACCATGAACCCTGCCCCACACTCATTTCAGAGGACCAGGTTTCACCAGGACTAAGATGGTTTCACACAGGCAACTCAGTTCGTTTCTGAAAAACTGAAATGCTAAGGGCTTTTGCTGTCTGAGCTGTTGCAAATGACTGTCTTTCATTCTCAGCCTGCTCCGCAGTTGACACAGGTGCAAAGTCTTTCTGTACAAGAGTCCAGGATGCCAATATCAATTAGGTCTTTAGTGAGTATCTGCCAGGATCTTTGCATGTGGCTCTGAAGGTTGAAAAGGTTGGACAGTTTGCTGCCCCCGGAGTTGAGCTCTGCGTGGTTTGTACGACTATGATAAAAGAGCCCCATACCTGCCTCAAATGCGGAGTGACAGGGGTTTGGAATTCCCTTTCTTATGGTAATTGCATTTCCAGCCTCAGCTTATTTGGCAGAAAAGGATGGTCTGACTTTTTCTGCTGATCAGTTCCTGCTGAACAGCAGCAGTCAGGAGCCCTTGCTGTAAGAATTCTAGGAAGTGTACTACGTCTCCATCTTCAGTGCTGAGTCCCATCAGTAATAGTGTGGTCCAGACTCAGTACGAAGCTGCTGAGATGCTGCAGGTTTCCTCACAACTTCTCCTCCGTGAACCCTGCAGGAGTTGAATGATAAGGCCCCTACACTGCGAGTTGGTGGAGTAGACTTTGGTGGGGGGATGAAGCTGACTTGGAGATCTGTGATCAGAGCTGGCTCCAGGCAAGTCTGCACTGGAACTGGTTTGCTTCCAACATTTCTCCACCTGCTGCTTCAGACGGGGCTGTTTAGGTTAGAAGAGACAGCAAACTGCCTTAAATAGTTTAAATGAAAATAAAGACGATCTAGTGGCTCGTTTTACTGAAAAGCATATGATTATAGTTGGCTTCCAATGATCAAACGATGACATTAGAATCTAGTCTCTTTCTCTCTCTCTCTCTCCTCCTCTGCTCCCCCTTTCCCTAGCTGTCACCTCTGCTTTCCTCTGTGTTGGCCTTGTTCCCAGGCAGGTCTTCTGCATCTGCTGGTCCCCAGCATCTCTAGGCATATATCCCACAGGCCTAGCTAGTAGTTCCAAAGAAAGGTTTCCCAGTGCTCTAAAACAATCAAATAAAACAAACACCAAACCAAACCAAAAATGTAAAAATAAGGCAACACACACACACAAATAACAAAGCATTGTGTCTTCATGGTCTGACTAGTGATATGGGCTAATCTCTGAATCAGTGCTGTAGCCGAGGGAATGGAATCCTCTGATTGACTAGACTAGGGTCACGTGTTCATACAGGTTAGGGAATGTCCATCCTCAGCCAAGTAGGTTCTGAGAGGTGGAAGATTAGTTTTCAAAGAAAACTCGAGATGCTGACAATGGAGGGAGAAGGAGGAGTGTTTGGTTGAGAAAACAGGAGCCATCAGATGAGCCTTTTCACCTCTCCCTTCCTGCATCTACCAGGCAGAGTGGGGCATTTACCAAAATGTCTAAAAGCCTTACAGATATCAAACCTTAACAAATGTGTCTCTGCCCCTACTCACTTGACCTTTTCATAACATTTTATGCTGTTGACATCCATTTCCATTTAAAATTGTCTCCTCTGTTGACTTGCACAACACTATGGCCTCCTTGTTCTCTCTACGTCCCTGATCCTCAGAGATCTTTCAGGAGCGGTGTAACAGCTAACTAGTAACATTTCTCTCCTCGAATTCCTGGGTCGCCCTTCAGCCCAGCATCTCTGTCTCCACAGCCCCTTCAGTTAGGGCCTCCTCCTCACTCATCTGTGATGCTGGCATCCTTTCTTTTTTTTATTTTCTGTATTTAGCACTGGGTCTTCCTTGCTTTCTACAGACTTTCTATAGTAGCAAGTGGGGACTACTCTAGTTGTGCACATTGCAGCAGCTTCTCTTGTCGGGGAGCACAGGCTCTAGGCATGCAGGTTTCAGTAGTTGTAGCTTCTGACTTCTAGAACTCGGTCTCAGTAGTTGCAATGCAGAGGCCTCATTTCTCCACGGCACGTGAAATCTCGGACCAGGGATTGAACCCTGTCCCCTGCATTCGCAGGTGAATTCTTATCCATTGCACCACCAGGGAAGTCCTGCCATCTTTTCTGCTAGCTCTCTTTGCTTGCAGTTTTTTATGCTTCTTCAATCTCTCCACCTGACTGCTTCTAGATCCTCCTACATCCCTGTCTGAACTGCCTCTGTTGTTTCCCACTTGCCCATAGATGGTCAGAAGAGGCCCTCTGTTCATTGTTCTTAGTGCCTGGCTCTTGGCGCACTTCTTCCTTGATTCTCTCTGAATTTCCATCACTACACACAGCTTGTGGATCCCATAGTGCACTGATTGTTTTAATTCTGCATGCTTTTGCATATGATATTAACTTTGCCTGAGATATTTGTCTTCCAACTTATCTGCCTGGGAATCCCCTATTGGTCTTTTAGAATCCTCTTCAGGCATCATGTTCTCTTGGAAACTTTCTGTAACACTCTTACCACGGTACTCTTGGCAGAACAAATCACTTTCAATTCTGTATTAATCTGTACATACTTTATATCATTCAATGTCTGTATCTTATTTATTTACATACATGCTTTAAAAAAAAAAACCAAAAACCTGACAAGATGCCTTTGGGCAGGACCTGCACTGAGCCAGTCTCCGCCACACAACAATGCTACACAATTGGCTGATTCCAGTTTCTGTTCCTTCCTGGCCACTCAATGTATTTGAGTTTCTCTCCAAACCTTAAACAAACGTTTAGTATATAAGATTCAGGGCTTCCCTGGTGGCTCAGATGATAAAGAATTTGCCTGCAATGTGGGAGACCTGCGTTTGATCCCTATGTTGGGAAGATCCCCTGGAGAAGTGATAGGCTACCCACTCCAGTATTCTGGCCTGGAGAATTCCATGGACAGAGGAGCCTGGCAGGCTACAGTCCATGGGGTCACAAAGAGTCAAACACGACTGAGCAACTTTCACTTTTTCTTTCATGTAAGATTTAGGGTAGTAACTTTGTGTCTTTTTCACTATGCTTATCACATAGTAAGTTTTCAATGGATGAATAGATGGGTGAATGGATGAAAGAATCCACAGGGCTGTCCAGAAGCACCTCAGTTTTCGTGTGTATAGTTTCTTGTCATTGCAGTTGCACTGAGCACTGAGATGCAAGTTAGGTGGGTTTCCTGTGGTCATCTCACCTCTAAGAGGCAAAACCTTAGACTGGAATATGGATTTTCTTTTTAAATGACTCAGGCTAAGGCTCAACTTATTACAGCACTTGAACTGAATCACTCTTCATTTCTTGGAGAGATTTGGAGTATTTTTCTTCTAAAACCTTGGCCAGTAACATGTCAAGATTTCAACATTGTATGCTAGTAGTCCTTAATGTATAAATCTCAACAAAGTCAGGACAACTGAAGAATAAGTTATTGAAATCCTGTGGATTGGGAGAGGTTTTTTGTACCTCTTTCCACACTACTGAGAATGAATGAAATTGCATAGGAGGAGGGAGATAGAAAAACATAGGAAGAATGTGAGGGAAAAGAGTAACAAAACATAATAAAAACTGTTTGTTTGTTTTTCTTTCTTTCTCCTTCTAGCACCTCTCCGCCCCAAATCTCTTAAGGTCTTTCTGATCTTCTTCCATAGCTTCAAAATTCTTGTCCTTTTTTGTCTTTTTCTTCCCCACACATCCATTGACTCTCAGCCTTTAGTTGTTCGTGTCTCTAAGCACTCTCTGAGGGAGGAGTATGAACTTAAACACAAAAAGAACACTTTCTGTGAGGCACCTTTATGTTTTCGGGGCCCTGCCCCATATCCCAGCCTCCTTCTGT